CACGACCAAATACCACCGAATAAAAGCTCTATTTGTGGGAAAAAAGGACATAAATTTAATTTGGGTGCAGCGTTGCATGACCGGGCAATTGTCAGTTAAAGTGACGCAGCGCCGTATCACAAAAAATGGCCTGGTCAGGAAAGGGGATAAATCCTCTGGAGGTCAAGTGGTTATGATTTTTTACTCTGTGATGTTTAAACCAGGATGAAGAATGATAATGATTATGTGTTTTGTTTAGATCAGTATTAAAGAGAATATATATGGCTCTTGAAGAAGTGGATCAAGTCCTTGAAATGCGTTGAGCCTAAAGAATTTGGATCACTTCTGAAATAATATGTCTTTCCATGATAATTGTTGTAATTTTTTAACCTTTATTTGATACAGTACTTTTAATTGTAAGTACCAGTCACATTTTTTTTAAGTCTAATAGCACACATTATTTGGCATTAGAGGACATATTTATCACAGTTGCTAGTATGAGTAGGGCCCTTTTTCTTTTTTTTTTTTTCTTCATTTTAAGTGTTTGCTTACATCCAGGGGCTGCTTCTCTTGATAATATTTAAAGCTATTCTAAAGGTTCATTTTCTTTTTTTTGGGAGAATAACAAACGTGTTATACTTACCTACTGTGTGCAGTGGTTTTGCACAGAGCAGCCTGGATCCTCCTCTTCTTGGGCTCTCCTGGCCCCTCTTTCCTGTTGGGTGCCCTAACAGCAAGCAAATTGCTATGGTGGCACCCGCTGCTCCGTGTGTCCATTCACAGACGGAGCCTTCGTTTGGTCCCGCCCCTCTCTCCTCATTGGCCGACTGTCTGTGATTGACAGCAGCAGGACCCAATGGCTCCTGCTTGCTGTCTCAGCCAATAAGGAGGCAGAGACCCAGGACATCCGAGGCTGTCGTGCATATCACTGGCTACCAATTTAAAATCCATGTAATCAACGAGATGGTGGGGGGTGCTTTGTCCAGGGGGTATTGTTATTGCCAGGTTTTGGGATAATGCAGACTGCAGATAGGAGTAAGCCCTATCCAAGGGAAGAACCTTTTTTCTGAGCTCATAAATAACTTAGTAAGACGTGGAGAGAGGAGGTCAAAGAATTTTTGGTAATAGACAGCCGTGAAACATAAGTCCGATTTTTTTTTTTCTTTAAAGTCTTACTAAACCCAGGACCCTGCATTCACTATGTTTGGTCTCCCACAGTAAACAGAACATGGAGGTATAATTATTTTAGTAAATATAAACTGCTGAATACCGTTTTCAAATCAGCAGTTAGAGCAGTCTTGTGACTTCAATCAGTGTCCAGCCGAGCACTGGTTAAAGCTTGTAGGAGGAGATTTAATTTTGTTCTAGGAGGATGCAGAACCCCTGACCTCTGTCTGGACAGTGCTGATTGGCCCTGTGCTGATCACATGCACTCTCCCATGAAAAAATAAACCTCTCCAGCAATGTTCAGAGTGACTCCACACAATATACTCCACACAAAATACCAGGAGGGGGACACTGGAAAAAGGGGAAGATCAGAGAAGTCAGGATCAAACAGCGTTTTTACACAATGCAGAGGATTAACCCCCTAGGTTCCACAGTGAGTATAACAAGCATACTTTACTGCATATACAGACTGATTTTACTATTGTGGGTTTAGTAAAACTTTAGTTTCAGTGTTTTTTTTTAGCCTGTTGTACTTACAACAGAGAAATTTCTGCAACTATGGAGGTTATCGAGGGCTCAGATAGTTTCATAAGTGCAAGTTTAGCAAAAAAGGCTTAAAACAATTGATTTAAGGGACTTGTGAAATGTGCACATGATCTTAATCAGGTTCACTGTAAGGTTGATATTACTTGTATGAAATTAGAAGGTTTATAGGTAGGTCCAACATCTCGAAGCCTAGTGACCTTCAATAATTTCTTTCATTGGACCTCCTCGTAGACAGAAGTAACAACTTTTTAAAGTGCAGAAATATGATTTTGTAATTCACAATATAATCAATGTATTGAAAGAAGGATCAGACCTGTCCCGAGATTTGTTTGGGCCAACAAAAAGTCTTGGGTCTCAAAACACACTATGCTTATACACAGGAAACAAAGTTGCTTGGGAGTCCCTAATTTTTCACAAATGTATAGCCGCTCAAATCGCTTCTCTGACTTCTTGTTACATTGCACAACTCTCTCCTCTATGGTTCACCTTGGAAACGCTTTCTTGCTCTCCGGTCTCTCCCCCCGCTCACTTCTGTGGCTTCCCCCAAAATCTAGAACTGCATCCATTAGCCCCCTAATGACCCATTCGCTCTGAGTATGACTCCACCAAATACTTCAGTGGTCTAATTGCCCCACACCTGCCCCTCCTCCTTTTACGCAACCCACGGTTTTCTCCAGGTTTGGAGTCCCCTAATGCCTTCCATTGGTGGGTTTCCCCACAAATTCCACTTCGTCCACTCATTCCTCACTGGTCGCAAGTCCCCCAACATTGAACTCTTTCCATTTCTACAAATCAAGCATTGGCTAACTTCAGTACTCGCTAATAGAGACCTGGGAACTCAACTATCATTGCTCGAGTACATTTGTCATCGGATGCGTCTCTCTCCTAGACACATATCTACTCTCTACTCACATTTGAATAACCTCAAAAACCCTAACAACCATGGTTACGTCTCACAGGAGGAAAGGGACCTTAAAAACACTAAAGACAGAGGAAGCTGGTCAGAAATTTGGGCCACACTTAGTTTCTGTTCCATCAATATCCTCACAATTGACTCGGCTTTTAAAACTGTTTCATGGTGGTACCTGGTCCATCTCATTTGGCACTTCTTCACACATCAGCTCCTGGCCCCTGCTTTAGGGAAGACATCCTCCACATATGGTAGACATGCCCCATGTTCTCCCAGTTCTGGACAAAAGTTCTTTAAACTTGTACAATCATTACTAACTTGCCCCTTCCCAAAAAGATCCATGTTATGACCTGCTACACCTGAAACCCCTGGGCCTCCCCAAATCTCAGTTCAGACTGGCCACCTATGTACTACTGGCAGTGAAACAAACAATAGCAAGAGCTTGGAAACAACAGTTTATACCCTTTACAGAGGTCCACTGCCTAGAAATATTTTTCACTAATGAAAAGCTTTCCAGTATTCTTTTAGATACGCATGAGAAATTTCCTAAAATATGGATCCAGTATGGTCACCCTTCTATATCAATAGCCAGTTATACACTGCTATGAGCACTGAGACATGAGGTTTTGGCTGGGGTGCTTCGGACAACCTTCTCAATGGAGTCCATCCATGAAATTTATTTGCTACTAAATATTCCATGGCCAACTGTTATTATTATTATTATACAGGATTTATATAGCGCCAACAGTTTGCTCAGTGCTTTACAATATAATGGGAGACAATACAGCAACAATACAGTTCAATACAAGAGGGATAGGAGGGCCCTGCTCCTCGGAGCTTACAACTGTTAGTGGTATTATAACAAAGTGGAAGCAACTAGAAATGGTAGGCCATGTAAAATAACAGAACGGGGTCAGCGCATGATGAAGCGCACAGTGCGCAGAAGTCGCCAACTGTCTGCAGAGTTAATAGCTAAAGACCTCCAAACTTCATGTGGCCTTCAGATTAGCACAACAACAGAGCTTCATGGAATGGGCTGCTGCATCCAAGCCTTACATCACCAAATGCAATGCAAAACGTTGGATGCAGTGACATAAAGCACACCGCCACTGGACTCTAGAGCAGTGGAGAGGCATTCTCTGGTACTCCACTGCTCTATGAATCATGCTTCTCTGTCTGGTAATCCGATGAACACGTCTGGGTTTGGCAGTTTCCAGGAGAACAGTACTTGCCTGACTGCATTGTGCCCAGTGTAAAGTTTGGTGGAGGGGGGATTATGGTGTGAGGTTGTTTTTCAGGGGTATGCGTTTTACCCTTTGTTATGTTGGGATAACCTGTTTTTGGGTAGATATGTGGAGAGTCAGGGGGAGTTTCAGAGTAGGTTATTTGCAAATCTACCAGCATTGTAAATGCAAGTCTGTCTGATTAGATTGGGAAAGGTCTTAAATATTCATAATGTACTTGTTTATGGTGAAGAGAGCAGTTTTGCCATAAACAAGACAAGAAGTATCTATTTAACTTTTTAATTAAAATCTATGCATATAGCTGTTCTAGGTCTAGACACATAAGATCAAACATGCTCATAAAACCAACCAATCAGATTGCTCGACACTTTGGTCAGTGGGAAAAGGTGTACATTAGGGAAGGTTTTTTTGGTTGAGTTCTGTCAGGAGAAAGGACACAGGAAAAAGTGGTGACAGGAGAGAGTGGTGTCTGGAGAAGGAGTGATAGGAGAAAGGGGGTTCTCTGAAGGTTTCTGATTATTGCATGAATCTGCCTTGTCTGTACCTCTGTTTTATGAACTGTTTCTGAGATGATTAAATGCATCTCTCTAGAAAAGAACTGTTGGACTAATTGCTGCGGGAAAATACATTTATAAATATACACTCGTCATCCGTCCTGATACAAGACAACACTTCCCTGAAGAGTTGAAGCTGCAAAGGGTGGGCCATCTCAATATTGAACCCTATGGACTAAGACTGGGATGCCATTAAAGTTCATGTGCGTGTAAAGGCAGGTTTCCCAATACTTTTGGGAATATATCCGTCAGCGCCTGGTTCTCCAGTATGGGCGCAAAGGTTTTGTTTCCTTTTATTTACATTGTTCCTCTGTTACGGCATGACTAATGTGCCCTCTGACATTCCATTCTGTTATTTGCTGTCATTTTTCTGCTTGATGTATGGCTGCTACTGAGTTGCAAGTTGCTGATATTGCCCTTCTATCTGTGTTCAAAGTCACACATTGTACTCCTTACATTTCTCAAAAAAAAATGTTTTGAAAGTGAAAGAAGATCAGAAAATGCAATTTCATAGACTATAGGAGCGCTGCAGAAATGTTATTTAATCATTATTTGATCTGTGTAACATCATTTTGTTTGCTTGTTTTAAGGTCCATACCAATGAATAACTTGAACAATCCACCTCAGTGGAATATCCAACCTAATGAAGATGGAAATGGGAGTAAATGGAATTATGCTTTGCTGGTTCCCCTAATGGGACTTGCTGCTTTCCGTAAGTATTTTAAATGTTTGACCAATTTTAATATATGTTATCTAGCACCCTTGGTTTTGTTACAACTGAATCCCAATTCCATAGATGCATTTTAGACATTTTTCCTTTCCAGGCATTAATGATGGCCCCAAAAAGCTTGAAAATGCTGTAATCAAATAAAATAAATGGTTAGCACAGTGGCTAAGTGGTTAGCACTTCTGCCTAGCAGTGCTATGGTCATTGGTTTGAATCCCACTAGACCTCTGAAGGTATGCTGTGGTTTATGGTACCAAGCCATCAGTAGCAGATCATTTAAGCCTGGAATTGGGGCCTCCATGGAGTGTACTTTTTTTCCAGCACATCCCACAGATGTGTGATTGGATTGAGAACTGGATAATTTAGATGCCAATTCAACACCCCAAAATCGTTAAGTTCCTCAAACTATTCTTCAACAATTTTTGCAGGGTGCATTATCCTTATGAAAGAGGCCACTGCTATCAAGGAATACAATTACTATGAATGGGTGTACTTGGTCAGTAACAATATTTAGATTTGTGTCAAGTAACATTCACATGGGGGTGTGGCTAGGACATTGTTTGGGAGCTCTGTGTAGACCACAGCTTAGGGCAGCTAGTCTGGACCCTGCAGCCAACAGATCTCTATGCCGAAGAAATGGAAACTGCCCTACAGCAGCTGACGGAGCAACAAGGTTCTGAGATTTCCCAATACTTGCTATGACAAACCCTTGAACCACTACCTGTGGAACCTTCTAAGATGGTGCCACCGTGAGTCAGATTAACAAGGCCTGCTCTTGGTAAGAAGTCTTCCAAGTCCATGGTTGGAGTGACGACAGATACCTATATCTCGCCCAGACTCTATCTTAACCCTGGTCCTAGGAGCAGAGTTCCAAACAGATTCTATCGCTTCAGAACTCAAGTGCCCCTCCATGATAGAGTCTTCAGGGACTTGATAGCTTATCTGCTCACAAAACAGGACATCCATGAAATGGCGTCTTCCATAGTGAACTCCTTGTTCCGTGAAATACAGGACCTAAAGCAGCAGATTGACAACGTAGCAGAAAGAATTACTACATTAGAATCCTCCTCTGCAGGGTGGACACTAGGCTCTCTGCCCTGGATGTGCCCCAGGCTGCTTTTAGTGCCAGCTCATCAACATGCAGCTATGGATTGAAGATGGGGAAAACAGAATCTGAAGAAATCACCTACGCTTGAGAGGTATTCCTGGAGCAACTATGGGTGATGATTTGTGAACAAACGTGGTCACCATTCTAAATCACCTGCTGGTGAAGCCCCCAACTGCTGACTTGGAGTTGGATCGGGTGCATCGGGTACAAGGTACACAGCCAGATTCATTCCCATCAGCAGCCTCTGCTTCTACACTCTGCCCAGATACATCCTGTGCAGAGTGCATTTCTGTTCTGTAAAAGTGTAACTTCTATGCCAAGCCTAGTCTAAAGGCCCAATTGACTTCAACAGAGCTATTAGCTGGGTCCTCCCCAACATCTTCCAGACAGACCCATAAAATGCAAACCACTGCTAATCTGCAGATGTACTGTATCTTACGGCTGGGGGTCACCCATTCCATCTAATTGTGTGTAAACAAGGTGCCTCTTTCTAGCTGTTTACACCCGACCAACTCCCTGCCTTTTTCCAGTTTCCAGACAAGCCGGTCATATTTGTACTGCACTGGTTGAATTCCTTGCTGAGCATTGATGGCCCCCTGCCAGCCCTCCCCAAGACCACAGAGGATCTCTAGACCCAGATCTTTTGCCTCCAATCGGGAAGCGTCCAGAGCTACTCCCTTCATCATCAGAGGACTGACGCTCTGTCTAACATGACTCACCAGCACTGTTTGCACATACTATGCCCTTTGAATGCCCAGCAGCCTCTGTCATTTTAGATGAAGGTTGCTTACGTGCAAGTTACTGCTTTTGCTATACCGAGGGGCTGCCCCATTTCTGTTACCCTTTTGTGGTCTTGAACCACTGTGTGCCCTCATGAGGTGATATTGTGTTGACTAACATACTTCCCTTGGTGGAGTTTTTTTGTCCTCTTAGCAGCATCACACCACGTGCCCACAGATCTCTGCATAGTGGCCCCCTCTCTGTGTTTTGAAAACCATCTATGAACCTACCCTGTGACAGCCGCACTGGCCATATTTGATCCCAGGAACATGCAATTTTCATGGATTTTTGTCTGATTTTGGTGTCCGTTCATAAAAGAGAAAAGCTGAGATCCTTATGATCTTGGCTGATCTCTCATGTGTGCCAGTTTATGTAGCTGAGACAGGGAGCAGAGAACATGTTGCTCACTTCTCATCACAAGACACACTTCATTCACTTTTACAGAGGTGGCCGATTTATGAAGATGAGATCTCAAAATCTCACTGGCCATGTCTGTAAAAGATATCTCTGTCTCAGCTTCTCCAGCCAAGAGATGGAAAATCTGGGAAAGAAACTGCTGTGATGTGAGGAAGAAGGCTTCTCTCTCCTAATATCAGCACCAGTGGGGTTAAAAATTAATATAAATAATAACTATATATATATATATATATATATACTGTATATATATTCCCATAAATGCGGGCCATTGATTGCAAACACGATTTGTTAATTTGCACACACAAAAAAATATTTTTCCTATCAAATTCATTCAAGACCATGTTGCTAAAATTAATACATCCCAACAAAATCATAGGAGCAAAGCTAAATTTTAGACAACAAAATCCTAATTAACAAGAATTCAACTACAGGTGAGTTTAATTATTCATTAAACAGATGTCCAGCAGACAGTTGATTAAAAGGCCGTTACTTAACAAAGAGAACCCCTTCCCATTTCATGCCGTCAGCAATGGCACAACATGGTACAAGGCCTGAGAAAGAAAATAACAGGATACAAGAAGATCAGCAAAGATTTACTTGTTAGTCAGAATACTGAAGTGATACAAAAATTTAGCAAAGATTTAACTGCAACCATCTCAGAGAGATGTCTAGGCCGTCCACGGAAGTTAACACCTCGACAGGAGCATCTTTTGATGAGAAGCGTTGAAGAAAATCGCCATGCAAGTTTACTGCAGTTAGCTAAAGAAGTAGAAAGCCAAACTGGGTTGATTGTTTCCCATGACACAATACGGCGTACACTGCAGAGGAATTGTATACATGAGTATCGTTCATGAAGGAAGCCTCTCCTAAAGCCCATGCACAAAAAAGCCTGCCCAGAATTTGCCAGGGCCCATGCTGAAAAAGAAGAAGACTACTGGGACTCTGTACACTGGAAAGATTTTTTTTTGAACTGATGACTTCAAAACTTTATGGTGTCGTAAAGGTGAGGAGTACAAAGAAAAATGCATGGTACCTACAGTGAAACATGATGGTGGCAGTGTCCTTCTGTGGGGCTGCATGAGTGCTGCTGGTGTTGGGGAGCTGCATTTCATTGATGGCATCATGAATTCACAGATGAACTGCTCTATATTGAAAGAGAAGATGCTGCCATCACTCTGTGCCCTTGGTCGTTGTGCACTTTTCCACTTTTTAATTTTATTTTCCATTCTGCTGACATAACTCTTTGCCTCTTTTTCTTGCTGGACTCTGACACTGGAGCTATCTCAACCAACTCCTATTACTGTATTTGGGTAATCCCTCCTTCAGGCTCCCTTGTCTTCCCCTGGGACAATAGGAAAATTATCTACCACTACACCATACACCAACCATATCTTCTTCAGGTACCTTCAAGACATCAGCAGCTCCTGCTAAATGGCCTTCATCTAAAATGGCCTCTCCACAACCTTCACTTCACTTAGCTTCATATTCCACTTGGATGACTATTTCAACGATAACCTCTCTGCCGCGCAAGTAACAGATCCCACTTTGGTGGCTGTTCAAGACTCAGCCCTCCTTGAGAAATCTAAACTCCTTCTTTAATAAGAATTAAATATGGCAACAGAACAACTCACGACTAAGATCACTCCTGAAATAAAGAGACATAGGATCCCGTATTGACTATCTTTGAACATAAAATGGACAAAGCTATTCTGTTGATCGATAACGACAAGCAAGATCTTGCCTCTACCCTTCAGAAACTCAAAGACTTGGAAAACCGCAGCAGGAGAGGAAACTTCCAGATCAGAGGCCTCCCTGAATCCATAGAGGACTTAAACTCTACAGTCACTGCTTTGCTACAAGAACTCATCCCAGGAACCCCAATCGAGAGACTGAAATTCGATAGAATCCACAGGACCCTGGGCCCGGAGAGACCTGAAGGACCTCCTTGGGACATCATAGTTAAGCCCACCTTTACAAGACCAAGGAAGCCATTATGCAAGCGGCCTGGTCCAAGAGAGACCTGATTTTTCAGTCACAAATTTTCTCTGACCTAGACCCACAAACACTTTTGAGGCGGAAGGAATTTAAACCATTTCTTCAAGCGCTGCAAAACCATCACATTAAATAGCCATGGAAGATAATTCGGACAAAAGGGGGCGCCAATCTCAGTGTAGAGAGTTAAAGATTTATTGGTAATAAGAGGTTAAAAAACTACTCACAAACGTAAGAAGTATAATAGCATGGTTAAGGAATGCCTTTGGTAAGCCCTCAGTCTACCAGTGATGTGAAGATGGATCCTGGTGATGCAGGATGAGCAGAGATGCAGCCATCAGTATTCAGCAATGCAGAAAGTTTTTGAAAATGGTGCCAAAACCAGAGAGGACCGCAAGGAAGTTGGGACCTCGGCGGGCGACCAATGGCAGGGCAGGAACAGGGTCAGGTGACACGTTTCGAAGCACTTGCTTCTTCTTCAGGCCTGATTGGCTGTCGGGTTCTCTGGTGTTTTATAGGCAGAAGACCGGTGGGGGCAGGATGATATCACTCTGACTGGCAGCTGGGGGAAAGTGTCAGCAGCTTGGATTGGTGGATAGGGATCAGAGCATCGTCGGAGGGGAGGCATATACCGGCTAACACAGTAAAACAGCAGTAACTGGCATAATGTTCTAGTGTGGTTCTTTCC